AGAAATTAAGAAATACACAAGACAAAATGAAAGGAGAGAGAGAGAGAGAGAGAGAGAGAGAGAGAATGAATGAATAAAGATGCATACCAAGAGCTAGCCGATTAGACAAATATAGTCCAAGCTAGATACACTTCTACAGAGAAAACAGCGTAAGAGAGGAGAGATAAAGTGTGAAATAAATAGACAAGGAGAGTCCACATGGGAACGGAAACGAGGGGAAGACAACGTTTAGTATGATTAGAAGGAGAGAGATAGGCGCCAAGGAAAGGAGGGAGGGAGGGAGGGAGGGAGAGGGAGGGAGGGAGAGAGGAGAGGGAGAGGGGAAAGGGGGAGAGAGAGAGGGAGAGGGAAGGGAGAGAGAGAGAGAGAGAGAGAGAGAGAGAGAGAGAGAGAGAGAGAGAGAGAGAGAGAGAGAGAGAGAGAGAGAGAGAGAGAGAGAGACTTACGAAACATAATCAAAATAAAGAGCAAGGACAGTTGAGAATAAAAACAAAAGAAAACAAAGCGATAAAAATTAGAAAAACGTACGAGGGAAAGGAAAAACCCTAAAACTATGAAAACAAACACAGGATCACAAAAAACAGGAAGAGGGCGATTTGGGAATGTTGATAAAAGAACAGATAAGAAGGACGTAATAAGGACAGAGAAGATAAAGCAGGGAGAGGAGAATTCAAAGGAAAGGGGTGAGAGAGGAAATGCTAAGGCGGCGTTTCTATAAATACAAAGGACTGTCACTGCATTTGTAAATATATTTAGGCCTATATTATACCATACCTTATCATATTATCTTATATCCCACACACATATTACAGAGAGAGAGAGAGAGAGAGAGAGAGAGAGAGAGAGAGAGAGAGAGAGAGAGAGAGAGAGAGAGAGAGAGAGAGAGAGAGAGAGAATGAATAAAGATGCATACCAATAGCTAGCCGATTAGACAAATATAGTCCAAGCTAGATACACTTCTACAGAGAAAACAGCGTAAGAGAGGAGAGATAAAGTGTGAAATAAATAGACAAGGAGAGTCCACATGGGAACGGAAACGAGGGGAAGACAAACGTTTAGTATGATTAGAAGGAGAGAGATAGGCGCCAAGGAAAGGAGGGAGGGAGGGAGAGGGAAAGAGGGGAGAAGGAGGAGAAATTAAGAAATACACAAGACAAAATGAAAGGAGAGAGAGAGAGAGAGAGAGAGAGAGAGAGAGAGAGAGAGAGAGAGAGAGAGAGAGAGAGAGAGAGAGAGAGAGAGAATAGAAGAGAAGAGAAAAGAGGAAAGAGAGAAGGGAGAGAAGAAAAGAGAAGAATCATTACTCGACCCACGTGCTCTGTGCCACCTTCAGAGTAAACAAGCCTCTCGAGACATAGGTTCAAACACGGCCTTGCGTGTTAAGTGCGCCCGTAACGCTTTTGTCCACTTGATTTCCTAAGCACGAACTTGCCTTGCCTTCATATTGCGGTAAAACTATACAGGTAACTAACTCTGTCTCTGTCTCCTTCTCTCCTAGTCTCTTTTTTTGTTTCTGTCTCTGTCTCTCTCTCTCTCTCGCCCCCACTGGCATAGTGAGGGTCGACCACTGTTTGACGTTGTCTTCATTTATACGGTTTACAAACAAACAAAATATGTATATACGTGGTCAAGTCGTCACGGCCACCGTCTTGGGAAAGACATTTAACATAGCGGTAATAAATAAACGACAGAAAAAAGAGAAGGAAAAGAAGGAGGAGGAGGACGAGTAAAAGAAGAAATTTCCTTCATTCTCTCAATCGTGAGTCTCACGAGGCGTTTCACCGGTGTCCTCCTGCCGCCGCCCCCCCCCCCTCACCCCAACTCTCGCAGCACCACAAGCGCTCGAGAAAATGCAACACTTGCAGGTCAGGCGGCTATGCGATGACCCGGCAGGAAAAAGGGGGACGGTGGCACAGACACACATACGCAAACATGCACTCTCTCTCACTCACTCTCACACACACGCTCTCTCTCTCTCTCTCTCTCTCTCTCTCTCTCTCTCTCTCTCTCTCTCTCTCTCTCTCTCTCTCTCTCTCACAGGTCTTGGCACACCCAGATAACCTGCATGGTGCCAGCCTGTCTACCACCCAGGTCATGACCTCCATCCAGTCGACAGCCACGAGTAACGACATGTACAGATAACAGTAAAAAATAATAATATTAATAAAATAAAAAAAAAGAATAATAACATAACATAAAGAACATTACGAGAGAGGCTATTTAACAATGGAGAAGCTACCACGAGGTGAATGCATAAACAATGTAGGCCAACTGAACACTAACGAGAATATCCTCATACTATCTTTACGAATCTGATCCGAATCTTTAGAATAATCTTCAAAAACGGCACCGCGCCCGAGACCACATGCAAATACACAACGGACCCTTCACCCATCACAGCCGTCATGAAAACTCATTCTTCTCCCTTTCCAAAACTCTTGACAACCCTAAACACGCTAATCATTTAACAGCGAGGCCTTAAAAGCGTCGAAAAGATTAGAAACCCGGACAGCAGGGCGATTCCATGAATGACATTACGAGATCGTGTGACAAACCCCGACTTTCCCCTCGAAATCAGACCAAGCGACCGTTTCCACCTTCTCTAGCAGACAGCTCGTCCTACTTACACTAAAGAGACAACACAAATCTCGGCTAAATCGGGCGTGAATGCCGTACTCTACATAATGAAACGTACAGATCCTCATATAAAATGCACAATTAGGTAGACTAGTTAGTACTATGACAACGAAAGAGTTTTAATACTACCAACGACCCCTGCCAAAGAACACGTTCCCACTACAAAAACAAGCACTTCAGCAAAAGGGGAACTCTCGCGGCGTGGGTAACTTCCTCTCAACAAAACCCCACGATCCTTAAGGAACACGCTGATAAAACCCCGCGATAAGACTTCACGTAAGGGAGAGAGCGATCAGCTGTGGGCTCATTGGGTTCACCGCGCCGACGAGCACCAAGAACGTGCGGAATGGTACCGGCCCGAGGACTTACAAGCACTGGCAATTCCGAACCAACCAATCGAGCTCTCAAACGGCCATTTCAGGACGCCGGGGCAGTGATCGCGCCGACGACAAACAAAAGGGACCGGGGATCATAAATGGTGCATTTCATATTCCATATTGCGGGCGAGGCGGGATAAATACACAATGGAGGCTAACTCATCATTCAATGCAATACCCGGACAAACTCGTACGGGGCACAAAGGGGATTCATATCGTGCCCATTAGCATAGTCCTTATTGGACCCGAACGTCGTATAACACCGCTTGGATATTGCAAAAAGTATGAACCCTGATAAAAATAATTTACTAAATCACGTGACTGGCAATAGCACATGGTGTTCCTTCATCTTATGTTTGGATTCTTGCTCTAACCTTCGTGTTGCAGTTCACTATTTATTATTTCACTTAAAATTTCAAACACGAACTAAAAATATATATATATGACAAAATTATGATGCACACCACACAAGATTCACAAATAATTTTCACCAAAGGCATCAAACGAACTGGTAACCACCTTAACTAACCGCTGAGTCGAGCACATCCACCACATCAAATTTTAAACCGATATCATAACGAAAGCCCAGCTACTGTACATATATCTATACCTCGTCCACTATCACCTTAGTTCTAACCGACATCACACAATGAACATTAAAACCCCACCCGCGTTCGGTTTGCGTCACTATCGCCACAATCCCTCTGGGCTGCGAATCGTCACGTTTTGACACATACAAGAACACGTGGCGCCGCACGCACTCAACTCGCACGAGGAGGTAAGTTTCAAGAGAGATTCACTCACTCAACTCGCGCGCGTTACAGGAAAAGCTCTATCGCCTTTGTTAGCAACAACACTTATGCTTCCAAGAACAAGCTATGAAAACATGGATCCAACAACATCACATATGCTTTCAAGAACATTCCTATGACAACATGGATCCCGCTGTGTGTTTCCCAGAAAACGTTGTAACTATCGCTGCGACGCTGTCTAATGCCTAACGTTTAGATCTTGCAAACCCGACTCCCTGTGTACCGACGAGTCCTACTTAACCCAGCCATTGCAATATTCCACCAAGTAAAAAACAAACACGAATGAAATAATTAACAAAACAAAACTACACCATCAACTCGCCCCAATTTAACACTAGAAACTTACACATGTACACACGTGAAAAAACCGACTCCCAGTAACCCGTAAACTCCCACCAGATCTTTTTCCTTGAAAATAAAACACCTTTGGCAACGTTCTGCACTGCAACAATAGTACTCACCCTCTCTCAACAAACTAGACAACAGATGACCGTCGTTGGCGAGGTCGTTCGCTTCTAACGAGGTAGACGCGCGACCCTTTCCAACCCGGCCGGAGCCTACTGCCCTCGCTGCCGCACTCCATCGCGCTCTACAAACTCACTTTGCTAATCAAATTCATTCAGACTAAACACACACAAAAAAGGAGAGAGGGAGGGCGCCGCTGTGCAAAGTGGCGGCCATCCAAATAGCATTTCGGCCAACTCGGTGGCATAATGAGAAACGTTTATTTCGGGGGGATATTTCGGGGTGTACGTTCATGTTTCTGGGTGAATGGCTGTCGTCAAACACACCAACCAAACTGTGAAGGTGATATTTCCCTTCGTAAACTGCGATAATTTCGAAACAACTTGTTTATTTCCAAAGATATTTCCTTCTGTCGGAAAACAACACCTTTAATGCGATTTCACTCCGTATCATCATGTTGGTGCACGATTACTACACACAATACATTCCTGCAATATTTATAAAATGAGCCACAGCACCAATAACACAGAAAATAAGACGAAACAAACTTACATTACGTCAATCAGAAAGAGTTTGGCTTTCGACCCTCATTTTTTTTTATTTAACGAACCTCGGCCACGCACTTTTCTCACTGACATATCGTAATTTCCATCGTCTCACGCCCTGTCACTAGTGCTTGACCTTAGATGACCTGGCGAGGCATACTGACCTTGCGTGCGTCTGCCGTGTTGATCGGGGCCAGGTCGCGCCCGGGGGGGGTACGGCCTGTCGCGCGCCCCAATAACTTTCTCAAGCTCGACTCCACGATCTTGGAAGATATATAGGCACCTGAACCACTAATATCTACTTCCTCTACGATAGGTGAAGCACTCATGCACTCAACTGCACACCACTCGGGCGCACTACGCTCTCCCTCAAGTGGTGGGGCGTGGGCACGTGTCGTCGCGGCCACAATAATCTATTTCTTTGGTTCCGTAAAAGCTTTGATTTCCTGAAATGCGTGTGGCTGGCATGCACTTCACTCTTCTTGTTTAGCTCTCACTCGCACACTTCACTTCGAGCGATCACTTCACTTCACGCTCCTGGGGGACCTTTGGCTGTCACTTCAATCATATCTGATTTAAGTTCCCTTTTTCCCGACAGCTTTCGTTAAATTAAAAAAAACTCCAGAAGGGAACTTTTTTGAGACAGCGTGTTATGCACCTCAGCCTTTTTAAATTTGTATTTATTTATTAAGGCTCGCGAGATGTCATGTGATCCACGGAGATGTGTAGGCAGGTTTCCATAAGGTCATACATCAGAGCATAATTCTTAAAATGGGGGTAGTAGAACACATTTCACCGTTTCCACTGGACTTAATTTCACCCAGAGCACTGACCTTCAACGCAGGTCACAGTGAAATTCAATACAACGCAGGTCACAGTGAAAAAAATTCCCAGCGATTATTCCTTTTATGTTGGGAGGCGAGGTTCCAATTTTCACCTTTCCGAAATTCCAAACAGGCCTCCAGTATCACGGAAGTTGATTAGAGAATTTTTAGCTTCGTGTATATCCAATTGGTGTGAAGAGCCTAGTGGCGCGAGCGGGCGTTCGAGAGACGTCCGACTCCTTCCACCGTCACGTGTGAACTGCAAACCTAGAC